TCCCGGGTGGCCAGCCTGTGCAAGGACAAGGGAAAAAAAAAAAAAAAAAAAAGGTCCAAAAAATCCGAAACAAAAAACTATGTTATGCAGAAAAATAAACTGAACAACTTTTGTCACAGGGTCACATCGAAATTCTTGACCAAATTAAAAATAAAAAATTAAATTAAAAAATACTACTTTTTTTTTTTTTTTTTTTGGCCCGGCCGGGCAAGTGGACCCGGGCCACTCTAATAGCCTAGCCTCCCTCTGTAAAGTTTGCTTGAGAATGTTGGGAAGGGAACTGAGCTTCTAAGTCTATTCTCGCCCCTGCCTAAGTCCGCACGAGTGAGAGAAGATGTGGGAAAGCATGGATAGGAGTCGGAAGGAAATGGAACGAAGAAAAAGGAATGTCAGCTGATGGTGACCGATTGGGGGTACGACGGGGCAGCAACATCTGGGAAGTGGGAAGGGAAGGTTAGGGAGACCCGGATGAGGGGTCTGAAACAATTCTTATCTAGAAAGAAGGACAGTCTAACCAAGAGGGGCCGTGTGGTGCTCTCTTATGGAAACAGGACCAGAACCGGAAAAACGGAATGGCGCGGTGGTTCTCATCTCCTATCTATTCTAGTGGTCCGGAAATGCCGATAGACGTAAAGGATGGGGTATCGGTCGTCCTCCCGGAAGAAGGAACGTGGACGGACCTGGAACCAGCCTACCAAACTGTGATGCTGGACGAGAAGGACGCGTTCCTCTGGATAGAGACAATCTGGACAAAGGTTAGCCTGACAAGACTGTCGCCGAGCTTGATGGACTTAGAATTCCGGGGGACGGTGAAAGTCCGGGGGTGGGTCTATCTATCCCAAGAAATGGAAAATGCAGTGATAATAGGATTGGTATTGGGCATGGCACCGACACAGTTGTTTAGACAAACGGAACAAGAAGTAATATGGGCGGCCTGTCAGCGGTCAGAAATGGAAATGGACAAAATGGAGGTGCGAGTGGAACTCGGGGACAGGGGGAACATGAGATGCCCCCTTAGGACAATGAGGTGCGTGCTACCCCCGTTTTTGGTGGATGTGGTTTTCGGGACCAGGGATAGACTGGAACAGATATGCCGGTCGATAACACGTCTGAGGCTGTACCAGTGCGCTCGACAGGATTTCTTTAGACTGTCGGTGGAAGCGGGACCGTTCGAGGGGAACTGGGCGGAGGAACTAGCTGAGGTATTAAACCTCCTCAGCGCGGATGAAGTCTTTGTCTCTAGCCCGGTGCATTGGCAGATAATCTATCGGAATGTGGCGGCAGGTGAAACCTTCTTAGAGGGACTGAGAGGGTTGTTCTCTGACGGGGAGAAGGATTTCAGCGAGGATGAGGATGGGGACGAGATAGAGGACTGAGTCTTCTGAAAGGGGGAGGGCGCTTACCCGGAAATGGGTTGTCGACTATGTGCAGGTAGGGAGCGATGGCCCGGGAGCGCGAGCTATGGGACTGCACACCCAAAGGATGGGAACCGAGACGGATCGGAGGGGGAGTAGAGATGTCTATACCAGCAGATCATGAATGGAGAGGAACCACGTGTGACTGGGTAGGATCTGAAATTGTGCCCGACCTATCGTACCTATGGATAGAATGTGTTTGGAACCCGCTAAAGGAAGAGGAAGGCTGGGAAGAGATTGCAGGACGGTCGTTCTGTCCGAACAAGGTTGGCACCTGTTTTGCACAACGCTTGCAGCAGGGCATTAGAGGGTGTTGAGGCAAGGGCTCGACGCGCGGGCAAGAGATTTGCTAACAAAGGTTGGGATGTGGTCAGTAGAGAAAAAGTTAATAACATGTTTTTTTTTCAGGATGTCTAAAGAGGTGAATTCAGGATGGCTATAAAGCTTTACAGTGGGAGTCATACGGTGAGGAGGGGTGTTTTCAGGCCTTCAGGGCATTCACCTCTTCAGGATGGTTCGGGATCCTCAAGCTTAACAGTGAGAGTCATATGGTGGGGAGGGGTGCATTCAGGCCTTCAGGGCATTCACCCCTTCATGATCGTTCATGATCCTCAAACTTAACAGTGGGACCCATAGGGTGGGGGGGGGTTCTTTCAGGCCTTCAGGGCATTCACCCCTTCAGGATCATTCAGGATCCTCAAGCTCAACATTAGGAGTCATAGGGTGGGAAGGGGTTCTTTCAGGCCTTCAGGGCATTCACCCCTTCAGGATCGTTCACATTGTTCAAGATCACCCCTTAAGGATCATTCAGGATCCTCAAGCTTAACAGTAGGAGTCATAGGGTGGGAGGGGGTTCTTTCAGGCCTTCAGGCCATTCACCCCTTCAGGATCGTTCACATTGTTTAGGATGTCAAAACGACATGACACCGGAAACCAGAAGGTGAGGACGGTTGCTCCTTTCAGACCTCCGAAGGCATTCACCCTCAGGGCATTCACCCCGCCAGGATCGTTCAAGATCCTCAAGCTTGACAGTGGGACCCATACGGTGTGGGGGGGAGGGGTGTTTTCAGGCCTTCAGGGCACTCACCCCTTCAGGATCGTTTGGGATCCTCAAGCTTAATAATGGGAGTCATACGGTGGGGGGGGGTGCTTTAAGGCCTTCAGGGCATTCACCCCTTCAGGATCGTTCACAATCTTCAAGCTTAACAGTAGGAGCCATAAGATGGAGGGAGGTTTTTTCAGGCCTTCAGGGCATTCACCCCTTCAGGATCGTTCAGGATCCTCAAGGTTAACAGTGGGGGCCATAGGATGGGGGGGGGGGTCTTTCAGGCCTTCAAGGCATTCACCCCTTGAGGATCGTTCACATTGTTCAGGATGTCAAAACGACACAACACTGGAGAACAAAGGTGGGAACGGATGCTCCTTTCAAACCTCCGACGGCATTCACCCCTTCAGGATCGTTCAGGATCCTCGGCGCTTAACAGTGGGAGCCATAGGGTGGGGGGACGTGCTTTCAGGCCTTCAGGGCATTCACCCCTTCTTGATAGTTCACGGAATTAAAAAAAAAAAAAAAAAAAAAAAAAAAATCATGAAGACTATGAACAATCCTGAAGGGTTGAATGCCCTGAACGACATGAAAGCAACCCCCCCTTTGACTCTCACTATCATGAAGGGGTAAAGCCCTTGAAAGCCATCACACCTCTATTCGACTCCCTGCTTTCAGACAACCGAAGGCATTCACCTCTTCAGGATCCTTCAGGATTCTCTGCGCTTAACAGTTGGAGCCATAAGGTGGGGGGGGGGTGCTTTCA